GTGTGGGCAGGGACCGACCGTCCCGGCATTCCTGCATGCCTGCCACGAAATTCTCAAAACCCTGAACTATTCTTAATCGCAAAAACAATGATCCTTAATACAAAAACAATGAGCATAAGCCTGCTGTGTTGTTAAAACAAAGCAGTCTCAGCCAGACATGTTCTGAAAACATGTCGCGCATATCACAACATGTTCTTAGAACATTATTTGGTGGCCTATAGGTAAGCCAAGACGCTTCGCCACTGCTCGATATGAGCTCTTCGCATGTTCGCCCCGACCTCCCCCCCTGCTGCAAATGAAAATCAAATCGGGGTCTTCGGGTTGGGTCGGGGTGGTTAGGTGGGCGGTGATGTGAGGCGTGCGCCGGCCAGGCTCGGCCCTCCCATTCCCGCCTCTGGCCGGGGCGGCCGCTGCCTGGGCGTTTCTGGCGACGGACAGCGGCTTTTCGCCACTTGCGCCACCTCTGCAGATGGCACCTTGCTCAGCAGCCCACGGCTGCTGCCCCCAGTGGCCTTGCAGCCAGCAGGTCTTGCAGCTCGGCACTCAGCAGCGCAGAGCGGCAGTCAAAGAGCATCTTGCTGTTGCGAGCGGCTCGATGGCCAGTCCCGTGGTCGCTGGCATTCCCGCGCCCCGCTGCCCCAGTGCCGCAACAACGCGTGTAGCTCACGGCCTTGTGACGAGCACTTGGATGCCACCCGCCCCTGTGGGCTCGCTCGCCGCTCCGCTCCTGTGCAGGTTCGACTTGTTCTACGCTTTCAGCTTCGGTAGCCTTTGCCTCAGCCCATGGGTCTGGGCGCGATGCCGCTCCCGATCCATTGCCAACGCGCCTCAGCGATGGCAGGCCGCCCTGGCCACTCCTGCCGAAGCTCTTCGTGCGGTGAGTGCCCTCCTGTTTCGCCCGCCATCAGCGGCCGCCCCCTGCCCCTCCAGTCTCGTGCCGCCGGACCATGCGTACGCTTCGCCCAAGCTACTGGGAGCGCGCGTGCGGATTGCCTCTGCCGCGCCGCGACGGAAAAGTGAACGCTCCTTGCTCCCTTCCATCCTGGCCTTGCATCTTTGATAGTGCTTTGCAAGTTGTATCGCGTGCGCTGGCAATCAAAGTAACGGCATAGGTTTCGCGACAATTTCGTGCACAGTTCACTTCTGTCTGACCCCTCCGCGTCCACAGGGGGTACATATAGAGGCCTCATAGACGAGGTCCGATAAGATGGGGTCCGAGAATCGTACCGCAACGCAGAGGCATCGGCGATGCATCGGCGATGCGGTGGGGATGCACAAGCGACGCATCGTCGACGTAGGCGATGCATCGGCGCCATCGGCGTAAAGCAAATCGGGCTCCACATCGAGCCGCATCGGCGATGCATCGGCGATGCTGCACGATTTTCCGACCCCTTCTACATCAGCCTCATCTAGGAGGCCTAGAGTTTAGGAGTCAACGGCAATGTAGCATAGCAGTTCGTACGGGCTCTTCAGGGGAATGCGGTGCAACCCTACGTCTGCATATGAACCCGGGAGCGGAGAGCCGCTCAAGTGTGGAGGCTATCGAATTAGGTGACCGTTGGATTTTGGAGAGGTCGAGGAAATACCTTTTCTCATCCCTCATACTCTCGTGGTGGCCCGAGGTGACCACAGCAATCGTGGAGGTCAGAGCCTGGCCTCGATCGTCAACTCTTGGGAGGTGCGGCGTGCCGAGACAGCCGCCTGCCTCCTGAGAGCGGCCCCGTGGGCTCCAACCGAGGCCCCATTGGGACACGCTCTGGCTGCTTCCGGCCTCGCGGGACGAGCTGGTGAACCACTCGGCTGCCGTCGCCGAATCAGCGACGAATGCTGATAGACTCGTGGGGCGGACAGCATCCTGCGACCGTTCGGGGATCTACTGGCCCGGGTCAATGCAAATCCGGGTCAGTCGGGCTTTGCAGGATCCTGCAAGGCCCTGCAGGGTCCTGCATGGAGGTCCAGGTCTATGCGCCCCTGGCTCTGCAGGGTCCTGCAAGGTCTGGCGCTCTGAACGACCCCCGTTCGCAGTGACCCCCGTCTCTTGGGCCCCGACACTTCCCAGTGGGCGCCACGTCGGACCACGGGGGCTCACAAGCTCTCCCCTCTCCCTCCTCGTCCTCCTCGTCGTCCTCTTCCTCCCCCTCCTCCTCCTCCTCCTCCTCCTCCTCCTCCTCCTCCTCCTCCTTGTCCTCCTCGTCCTCCTCCTCCTCCTCGTCCTCCTCCTCCTCCTCCTCTTCCTCCTCCCCCTCCCCCTCCTCCTCCTCCTCCTCCTCCTCCTCCTCCCTTCTCCTCCTCCTCCTCCTCCTCCTGCTCCTCCTCCTCCTCCTCCTCCTCCCTCCCTCCCTCCCCCTCCCTCCTCCCCTCCCTCCCTCCCTCCTCCCTCCCTCCCTCCTCCTCCTCCTCCTCCTCATCCTCCTCCTCCTCCTCCTCCTCCTCCCTCCTCCTCCCTCCTCCTCCTCCTCCTCCTCCTCCTCTCCTCCTGCTCCTGCTCCTCCTCCTGCTCCTGCTCCTCCTCCTCCTCCTCCTCCTCCTCCCCCTCCCGTCTGGCCCTCCTCCTCCTCCTCCTCCTCCTCCTCCTCCTCCTCCTCCTCCTCTGGAGCCCGCCCCGCGGCGAGACGGGAAACCGAAGACCGCCGAGCGGCTTGGGGCTCCACCCAAAAGGTGTTGTTCGTTTTCGTGTTGTGTTGGTTTTCCCCATCGCGTTGTCTTCGCTCTGCCTTTGCTGGAGCGAAACCCAAACGAAAACGGTCCACGAGATCGCCCAAACACTGTTTAGGTCGGGCCCTGGATAGAAGCCTCCTGGATGGGGTCCGAGTGGATGGGGTGGGAGGACCGCGCCGCATCGTCAATGGAATGCCGATGCATCGACGATGCATCGGCGACGTCAACGGTGCATCGGCGACGCCAGCGTGGAAACAATTGGGCTCCACATGGAGCCGCGTCGCCAATGCATCGGCCATGCGACGCGGCCCTCCGACAACATCTACAGTCGACCCGGATCAAAGGATGCGCGATAAGGATGCAAGGGCCCTGGAAGGCCTTTTCGAAGCTTTTCGAGCGGGGCGCGGCCAGCGAAAGTGGCCCAGGATGGACCGAGGAGGCAAGGATGCAAGGGCATCCTTGGGAAGACTGCCCGTCCTTCATATGCGGGCTGACCGTGCTCCGACCCCACCTGGGAGGCCTGAACTGGAGCAGAGAGTAGAAGAACGAACAGTACCACAAACATAAACACTCGGAGGTCCGCGCGGATTTCTCGGATCGGCGGTCGACCCCCGCAGCGCGCCAGGGGCGGCGCCGGAGGCGCCGCTAGGGGGGGGGGGTTGTTTATGTTCATGTCCCCGATCCATGGATTTGGCGCGCGGTCACCAAATCCTTGGATCGGGGGAGGTGCCCTCCCGAACGTGCGGCCAATGCCGCCTTGCTAGGCGGAAATGCGCGAATTCCCATGGACACGGGACACGTCGGAAATCCACGCCCCCTTGATCCATGTTTGCGATCGCCTGATCTCCTCGTCCTCCTCCTCCTCCTCCTCCTCCTCCTCCTCCTCCTCCTCCTCCTCCTCCTCCCTCCGCCTCCTCCTCCTCCTCCGGCTACTCCTCCTCCTCCTCCTCCTCCTCCTCCTGCTGCTCCTGCTCCTCCTGCATCTCCTGCTCCTCCTGCATCTCCTTCTCCTCCTGCTCCTCCTGCTCCTTCTCCTCCTGCTCCCTCCTCATCCCTCCTCCTCCTCCTCCTCCTCCTCCTGGCGGCGGCCGTCCTGCTCGACCTGCTGAAGGCCTTCGAGCAGGTCAGGCACCACTGGTTGCTGGACGCCGCGGTGCGCACTGGCTTCCCGTTGTGGCAGCTCAAGCTTCAGGTGGAGCTGTACTGCGCGCCGAGGGTGCTCGCCCTGGGCAGCGCGCGCTCCGACGTGATCGAGACTCGGCAGGCGATCCTGCCAGGAGACGGTTTCGCCACCACCCTGCTCAAGCTGATGCTGATCGGGCCGCTGGACAGGCTGGTCGAGCAGCACCCGACGGTGCAGCTGGCGGTGGTCGTGGATGACCTCATGTTGCACAGGTTCGGCGGAGCAGTGCGTGTCACGAAGGAGGTGGCGGAGGCGGCCTTCAAGCTCAAGACGCTCTTGACGGAGGTCGACCTCAACGTGGCGCTCTCCAAGTCCCGTGTGCTCGCCAACGTGCCCGACGTCAGGCACGCCGTCGCTGCGAAGCTCAAGCGGCCGCTCGGCATGGCGTCGGTCAAGGGCGAGCGCAATCTTGGAGTCGACTTCTCTTGCGGCCGCAGGGTTGTAAGGAAAGTCCGCGGCGACAAGATGGCGCTCGCGGAGTTGAGGCTCAGGCGCGTGGCCATCCTGAAGACTGGAGTCGGGCGCAAGCTGGCTGTCCGCAAGGTGGCGCGCAGCGGGCTCGAGGCGTCCGTCTCCTACGGCTTCTCCGTCACGGGCTGCGCCACCACGGAGCTCGACAAGCTGCGCGCGCTCGTCTTCACGGCCGCGGCGCCGAGCGTGGCGGGGCGGTCGCGGACCCTCACGCTCATGCTCACGCCCTTCCTCGACCCTGTCTACCGCGCGACGCTGGCCCCAGTGATGGCGATGCTGCGTGCGGTCTGGGAGCGCTGGGTGCCGAAGCATGTGATCAAGTATGGACTGGTCCAGTGCGCGGCCACTAGCTGGTGCCAGGTGAAGGGGCCCTTCTCGGCGGTCAGGCTCTCCCTAGAGCGCGTGGGCTGGCAGATTGTTGACGGCAGCACCTGGCTCACGCACTGCGGTGACAGCATATGCATCTTCGAGACCCCGCCCTGGGTCGTCAAGCGCCTGATCTGGATGGCGGTGGAGGCTTGGCAGTGGCGACAAGTTGGGCAGCGGCCTGGGCTCGCCCATCTGGCGGATGGGGGCATCCTTGAGCCCATCGCCAGGCTCACCAACGCGGGGGCGGTGCAGCGCAAGGGCTTCTTCGGCCGACAGGTGAACTACGTCGACGGTGACGCTGGCGCCGCCGCTCCTCGGCATGTCGGTCGACCTGCTGTGCCTCCTCATGTCGCGGCGCTGCCGTCGGGAGAGGAGGCAACTCGTGGCGGTGTCGCGCGGCATGGTGCTGTGGCAGGCGCTGCTGCGGGTGGCCTGTCAGGCCCAGCTCAGGCCAGCGTGCTCGGGCCTGGCTACCTGACCGCGGTGGAGGCTAGCGCCGCTACTCCACAAGCTGCGCGCGCTGAAGCTGGAGACGGATGGGGTGACCTCATCAACGACCTGCTCGGCCAGGTGGCGCCTGACCCCCCGCCGCGGCCAGACCCAGAAGGCGGGGCACCGCTCGTACCTGGGCTGCCTGCTGGAGACGCTGGGGCTGGTGCCTGCCCAAGCCTCGTACCTCCGCGGCAAGGTGTGTCGACGGCTCCTCAGGGTGGGCTGGCGGATGCTGCCCTTAATGACGCTACTCCTCCGAGTGGCGCGCCTCGAGGAACTACGGGACCCCCGCCCACGCCGCTGGTGCGAAGCCTGCTCAGATCGCCAAGGCGATCCGTCTTGCGCCCAAGGGGTTTGGATACCTCGCCTCGGTCATCGTGGATGGCCAGTGGTCGCAGCGCCGCATGTACCTGGGCGGCTACGCCTCGGACGACAAGTGCTTGCTGTGCGGCGACGTTGGCACGCTGCTGCACAGGCACACGCGCTGCGGTGGATGGCCGTCCGAACTGCGGCTGCCCAGCAAGATCCGTGAGATGGCGGGCAAGGCTGAGCTCGTGGAGGTGGAATCCCTGCTGGGGCGCGTGTTGTGGCCTGCGCCCCGCGGCATCATCAAGCCGCCTCGGCCTCCTGAGCTCAGCTGGCTGGGCCAAGACGTAGGCGGCATGCTGCCGTCGGGCGACGTGTACCTGGACGGCTCCGCCTACGAGGGCGACTTCCAGCAGTACACAAGCGTCGGCTGGGCTGCGGTGGTGCTGCACGAGGACGCGGACGCCTTCCGCGCTGGCATCTCGGGCACGCTGTGCGAGGCCTTCGCCGACACCAACGGCGGCGAGCTGGCCGCGCTCATCGGCACGCTGCGCCATGCCGTGCCGCCCGTCAGGGCCATCGTCGACTCCGACTTCGTGTTCAAGGGTGTGCTGGAGCACGGGCCGCTGCTCACGACGCGCTGGGGCTACGCTTGGGCCCACCTCTGGCGCGAGCTCTGGCGGTTTGTCGAGGACTTCGGGGGGATAGGGCCGCATGGCCTGACCCTCAATAAGGTCCCTGCGCATGTCCCGCGACGCCGAGTGACCGACGACGGCGTCATCACCGCTCGCGACTGGATCGGCAACTGCATCGCTGACCAGGCCGCGAAGTGTGCGGCCGAGCGCGCGAGGATTGCGCCCGAGGACCGACAACGCCTGCAGTCGGCACGGGGGCTGGTCGAGGGCGTGGCCATGTGGGTCTCAGCTGTTGGGGCTGCTGTGGGCGGGGACGACACCACCCACCGCGCGGCGAAGCCCAACGAGGCGGCCCCGCGAGCAGCGTTGCAGCCAGCGACTGCCAGGCTAGGCTGCGACCTCCGTGGGCCGCCCGGGGCGAGATGGTGCAGCAGGTGCCGCTGGCTGGAGCGCGCCAGCGAGTGCCCAGGCTCGATTGTGACGTCCGCCCTGGACCACAATAGGAAGCTGAGGGCCCAGGGCGCGCTGGCGCACGTGATTGTGAAGATCGAGCCGCAGGTCGAGGCCCAGCTGCAACGGGAGATGCCGCTGCTGGCCTGCCTCGTCTGCGGAGCCACAGGTGCGGCGAGGAGCTCTTCCATCGCCCGTGCCTGCGGCGAGCCTGGAACAAAGGGCAAGCTGGCGATTGTTCGGCTCGCCAAGGGCTTCGCGCCAGGCGCCGCAGGCCGTGTGGCCGCCAAGGTCGTGCAGCTCGACGACCACAGCGTCGTGGACGACGGCGCGGAGCGCGGCGGCGGCGGCCTGGACGGGCCGCTGCCCTGAGGCGCGCGCGGGGGGAGGAGGCCCCACATCCCCGCGTGCGCCTCGCGGTGCGCCTCGGCGAGGTCGCAGCGGGTCATCCTGACCCGTGCCCGAGCGCGTGGGGGCGCGCTCGGGCGCCAGCGCGGCCGAACGCCCGCGCTGAAGCGAGCGCATCCTCCTCCTCCTCCTCCTCCTCCTCCTCCTCCTCCTCCTCCTCCTCCTCCTCCTCCTCCTCATTCTCCTCCTCCTCCTCCTGCTCCTCCTGCTCCTCCTGCTCCTACCTCCTCCTCCTCCCTCCTCCTGCTCTGCTGCTGCTCCCCTGCTCCTCCTGCTCCCCTCCTCACTCCTCCTCCTCCCTCCTCCTCCTCCTCCTCCTCTTCCTGCTCCTCCTCCTGCTCCTCTGCTCCTCCTCTTCCTCCTCCTGCTCCTCCTGCTCCTGCGCATACTGCTCCTCATGCTCCTGCTGCTCTTCCTGCTCCTCCTCCCTCCACCTTCCTCCTCCTCCGTCTCTTCCTCCTCCTCGTCCTCCTCCTCCTCCTCCTTTTCCGTCTTCGTCTCTCCTCCTCCTCCTCCTCCTCCTCCTGCTCCTCCTGCTCCTCCTGCTCCTCCTCCTCCTGCTCCTCCCTGCTCCTCGCTCCTCCTCTGCTCCTCCTGCTCCTCCTGCTCCCTCTCCCTCCTCCATCCTCTCTCTTACTCCTCTTCCCTCCTCTTGCTCCTCCTGCTCCTCCTGCTCCTCCTGCTCCTCCGCTCCTCCTCCTCTTCCTCCTCCACTCCTCCCCCTCCTCTCCTCCCCTCCTCCTCCTCCTCCTCCCTCCTCCTCCTCCTCCTCCTCCTCCTCCTCCTCCTCCTCCTCCCTCCTCCTCCTCCCCTCCTCCTCCTCCTCCTCCTCCTCCTCCTCTCCTCCCTCCTCCTCCTCCTCCGCTCCTCCTCACCTCCTGCTCCTCCTGCTCCTTCTGCTCCCTGCTCCCTCCTCCCTCCTCCTCCTCCTCGTCCTCCTCCTCCTCCTGCTCCTCCTGCTCCTCCTGCTCCTCCTGCTCCTCCTGCTCCTCCTGCTCCTCCTGCTCCTCCTGCTCCTCCTGCCCTCCTGCTCCTCGTGCTCCTCCTGCTCCTCGTGCTCCTCCTGGTCCTCCTGGTCCTCCTGGTCCTCCTGGTCCTCCTGGTCCTCCTGGTCCTCCTGGTCCTCCTGGTCCTCCTGCTCCCTCCTCCTTATCCTCCTTCGTCTCCTTCTCCTCCTCCTGCTCCTCCTCCTCCTTCTCCTCCTCCTCCTCGTCCTCCTCTTCCTCCTCCTCCTCCTCCCCCTCCTCCCCCCCGAGGCTGGAGCGGAGAGGGCGGCAGAGAGCAGTGCCCGCGATTTCTGCCGCCGAGGAGCGCGGCGGTGGCGGCGGCCTCCCTAGGCGGCGGTGGCCTCCACGGGGGGGCGCGCCGCGCCTCCCTTCGGCGAGGGACGCCGGGGCCTCGGGCGCCCTTGGCGCCGCGGCACAAGCCGAGGCTGCGGGGAGGGGGCTGCGGGCGGAACTCCCCGAGGAGGGCCCACCTCCTCCTCCTCCTCCGCCTCCTCCTCCTCCTCCTCCTCCTCCTCCTCCTCCTCCCTCCTCCTCCTCCTCCTCCTCCTCCTCCTACTCCTCCTCCTCCTCTCCTCCTCCTCCTCCTCCTCCTCCTCCTCCTCCTCACCTCCTCTCCTCCTCCTCCTCCTCCCTCCTCTCCTCCTCCTGCTCGTCTTCCTCCTCCTCTCCTCCTCCTCCTCCTCCTCCTCTCTCCTGCTCCCTCTCCTCCTCCTCCTCCTCCTCCTCCGTCCCTGCTCCTCCTCCTCGTCCTGCTCCTCCTCCTCCTCCTGCTCCTCCTCCTCCTCCTCCTCCTCCTCCTCGTCCTGCTCCTCCTCCTCGTCCTGCTCCTCCTCCTCCTCCTCCTGCTCCTCCTCCTCCTCCTCCTCCTCCTCCTCCTCCTCTTCCTCCGCCTCTTCCTCCGTCCTCCGCCTCTGCCTCCTTCTCCTGCTCCTCCTCAGGGCTGCAGACAAGAAAGCCTTTAGGGCCATGAGGGGGCCCTTTCGGGTCCAAAAGAGGGCTGTAGGGCCCGAAAGGTGCACCTTCCCCCCCCCTCGATCGCACCCCATCAAGCGAGTCCCGGGCAGGAGAGAGGCAGGAGGAGGGAGGGAGGAAGGAGGTACACAGGCGGCCTAACCGACCCCTTAGCACACCATCCCCCTCCGTGACGCCACCCTCGCCTCGCCCAAAAACGTACGTGTGCGGCTGGGGTAAGCTTGAAAGGCGAGGGTGACGTCACGGAGGGGGATGATTTGCTAGGGGTCGGTTAGGTCGCGCCCGAGGGGGGATGAGGAGGATGAGGAGGATGAGGAGGATGAGGAGGAGGAGGAGGAGAAGGAGGAGGGACCGCCTCCTCCTCCTCCTCCTCCTCCTCCTCCTTCCTCCTTCCTCCTTCCTCCTTCCTCCTTCTTCCCTCCTCCTTTTTCCTTCCTCCTTCATTCTTCCTCCTTCCTCCTCCCTCCTTCCTCCTTCCTCCTCCTCCTTCCTGCTTCCTCCTTCCTGCTTCCTCCTCCTCCTCCTCCTCCTCGTCCTCCTCCTCCCCCTCCTCCTCCTCCGCCTGCGCCTCCGCCTCCTCCTCCCTCCTCCTCCTCCGCTTCCTCCTCCTCCTCCTCCTCCGCCTCCTCCTCCATGCGCGCTCCCGCGCGCGAAGGATGCGGGCAGAAGAAGGAGGCAAACTCATGGTGAGAGTTAATCGGGGATGGACAGACCTCCCTTTAGTAAAACGTGGTTTAGTGAAAACGACCTCGGGCCCAAACCTGGCGGGCGCAAGCCTGGAAAATGACGGCCGCGGCGCCCTCTGGACAACCGAAAACGGACAATCCACTAATCGACGTGTCAGGTTAGGAGGTCTGTCCACCCCCGAATCAAATTATGCGGAGGGCAAAGGCTCTCAAAAAAACCATAATCAAAGAACAAGGAACCGCAAAGCTCAGGGGATCCGGGACATCTGGGGGGCTCCGCGAAGCTATTCCTCACGGGACATCCTCCCTCCTCCCTCTTCCTCCGTCCTCCCATATTTCTTCTCAGCTGCCTTCCCTTGTCCGCATCAGGAAAATACATGTTAATAGGACGGAGAAGAAAGATGTTGACAAGCGGCGAGGGAGGACGAAACCGAGGATGGGTGAGGGGGAACTGAAATCCGAAATGCAAGGGCCGCGGGATTTTCAGAACTATGGGACCTCTTGGTTCGGATGTTCGCGAGGAGGGGCTGCTCCAAGACACGTCGTTCGCTGGAAGGCTGACTGTGGTTGCCATGTCGCCATGGACATTGGCTTCTGACACCACAACACTCAATCTTGACCGATTGCCGTTTCCGCTATCCGACAACGGCTATCGTTTAATCGCAGCCTGGTTCAAGCCGCCGGCGGTCTTTCATTACCAAAACCCGCACAATCATGCCGCCCGCGACGATGCGGCGCGAACCTGCCGCCGCAAACCCAGAACGCTGACGAATCATTTGTTCAATCCGCGGGCCCTCAAACAAAATCTCGGTCTGGACCCCTACCCCAGGCGACACTCCTCGCCTCCGAGCCATTCTGGTCGGTCCTGGGGGCCGAACCGGCCCCCCCAGGGCCAAGTCGGACGAGAAAACGCAGGGACTGAACAGCACACCGTCCGACCGCATTCTGGGGAGAACGCACGTGCTGGGACCTCACCTCAGGTCGAAGAGGGGGAAGCTTGCCATCGCTAGGACGTCCTTTCCCCGTGCATTATTCAGTTCCGTGCGTTTAGCGATGCCAGGGCACGGGAAGGCAGGGGTTCCGCGCAACAGATGGCCCGAAGACTACGCTGCGGACGGCGGCGGGCTGGAGAGCGTCTTAAAAGCAAGAGAGGCGGGGGCACAGTATCCCCCCACCCCCCCGTCAAGTCCCCCCCCCTCCCTGAGACGATGCCAGTACGAGGATAACATCGGGGGAGGAGGAGAAATCGAGAATCTCTGAGATCCTGCAACTCTGGAGGATGAATCGGGCACCGCGGCCCTCTTAGAGCGTTCCAGACCGCTCTGAGAGCGTTCTGGAACTGATTTATCCTCATCCTGGCTCCGCCCTACTTCCCCCCCGATCATCGGAGTGCGATGTGAATTCCGCTCCGCGGAACTCAGAAGTCCCTGTCCCACTCTGGGGCGAGTGACCGCCGGCGCGTCAGGCGGGTGTTGACGCGGGGCACCGCCGGCTTGACCTCGTCCTCCTGCAGAGGAGGAGGAGGGTGACTACCAAGTGTGCCACAGCCATCGTGCTGTCACGAGAACGCTGAATAAGGAACGATGGAACTGTTCTGGTTACGTCGGGCCTCTGTTACGAATAGGCTCCTCTACCTCAGTCCAAACAATGGCCCGAAACCGCTTCCCCTCGTGATCCGAAAACCGTCATTATTTGAATGTCTTGCCAGTGCTACTGCGCCAGGTGCGCTACAGGCTTACAGGGTACGTGTCCGAACCCATCTTTAGGAGGGTGGCGCCCATCAAGTAAGTTCCTGGGACTGCGGCAGTCTACGAAAGAAGAATGATGAGGATCATCAGGATGAAGAAGACATGGATCGGAGGACGACGAACTGTTTCTCCTTGGGGGATTTGGTCTCTCTGGAGACCTTGTAACACTGATGTGACAACGCTAGGGGCTCCGAAGGTGAATGATGCAAGCCTGCGGACCGTTAGCCCCCTGCATCGCTCCTCCCCAGATTTCCGTCTCTGCCTCTGTGGACCAGCCCTCGGCAGCCTGAGCCGAGGGATGGCCGATGTCGGGTCGGGTGATGAGGGGGCCAACTGGCAGAAGGAAGGGGCGCGCAAGACTGCCTCCACCAAACCTCTCTTCCTCTCGGTGGAGCTGCGAATGCCTCCACGAGCGATACGGTCCCTCCTCCTCCTCCTCCTTTTCCTCCTGCGCCCCCCATCCCCCGCCTCCTCCAGGGGGAGGAGGAGTCGCAGGAGCAGGCATGAGACGACCCACAGTAAAAAGCCCCGGAGTCGCAGGAGCAGGCATGAGACGACCCACAGAAAAAAAGCCCCCTGGGTGCCCCGCCTCCCTCGCTCTCCCTGACTCCTCGCTGCCTCCTTCCCTCCTCGCTTTTCCCTCCCATTTTCGCTTCCTCCATCCCTCCTCGCCTTCTCCCCTCTTCATCCCTCCTCGACCTGGCTCTTGGGGTGGGAGCCTTCGCGAGACGGCGCGCCCGACCGCCAGACCCGCCTCGAACCAAGGACCGGGTACACACAAATAACAGGATTCCCCATCTGTTCCATCTTTTCTGGGTTTTTTTGTCTTCCCACGCACATTCAATATTTTCCCATATGTTCTAGGGAATCGACGATTAATTGTGTCTGTGTGTTTCTTTTCCTCCTGACTGAGGTCGATGGCACCTCCGGCACCCGGCCGTGGCCAAAAGCACGGGCACGCTTGTGAAGCGCGCCGCGCGTGTCTGTTGCGGTGCGGCGGGGGGCTCGGAAGCTGGGCGAGGGCTGCTAAAACCGTGGCTGCCAAAACGGCCCTCCCGGAAGGAACAAGCAACTTCCCGGAGTGAGGCGCGGCACGCGAAACAATCGACGTGCTTCTTCCCGGAAGGACGAAGACAATTTCCCGGAGGTCGCTTTTAGCAGCCACGGATTTGGCAGCCCTCGCCCAGCTTCCGACCAGCTGAGGTCGATGGCACCTCTGGCGCCCGGCCGTGGCCAAAAGCACGGGCACGCTCGAGGAGCGCGCGGCGGCCGCGGCGGTGCTGCCGCACTCCCACGTGCACCTGCAGCTCCTGGGCGAGGCGCTGCTCACGCAGGCCCAGCTCGGCCCCGGGGCCGCGCTGGCGGCCGCCGCGGCCGCCTCGCGCCTCGCCGCCGCCCCGGCCTTTGGCGCTGGCCTCGCCGTGTGGGGCCGCCTACTGGGCGTGCTTGTTGCGGTGCGGCGGGGGGGCGTCGGCGGCGGCGGCCCCGCTCTGCGCGGGCGAGGCGCCGCAGGCCGCCAGGAAGCAACAGCCTCCTCTCTTCGGGCACGCGCTGGCGTGGATCACGGATCCGCGGATCTGGCGCGCGGGAGCCAGATCGACAGATCGGGAAACTCTGAAGGGGAACTGGGACACACAAATAAATACACACAAATGAAAAGATGCCCCATATTTTCCCATATTTTCTAGGTTTTTGTCTTCCCCCCCACTTCCCATATTTTCCCATATTTTCTGGGAATCGCCGATTAATTGTGTCTGTGTGTTTTTTTCCCTCCTGAAGCTCCCCGATCCACGACTCTCCACAAGAGACCCAGGCGCGGCCACAGAGCTCCCAACCCACTCCCCCGAGGGCACTGCCTCGCCCAAATCCACGATGAAGGAACTGGACCTTCTACACCAATGTTTTTTTTTTCTGGTCCCGCACTGAGATTCGCACAAGAAAACGGATTCTGGTGAATACGGCATCCTGGTGTGTACATGTTCTAATATTTCCACGGGGAAACGCGGAAAACAAGCATACACCACACCACCCCGACGTCGTCCCCGACCCTCAAAAAAGTTTGGGGATGGAAAAGCCGCCCGCCACTGGTAGTGGAGATGTTCCAGTTCCCGAATGATTGATGTTCGGGCGCACGCTGACATGGAACACGGATCCCTGGATCTGCCGCGTGCGCCCACATCACGGATCGATGATCGGCCCCCCCCGAGAAACATGAGGCCAGTGCACCCCGATGTGGCGACGGAGCGCGCCGACTCCGTCCAGAAGCAAGTCCCCACCGCTCGTCCGTGCGCCGCGATCCATGCTCGCGCCTCCTCGATCTCTGGGGGCGGCAAGGTACTTTGTGGGCCCCGGAAACGGCAGGACCGTTTTTTTCAACGTTTCCAAAAAAATGTCCATTGAAAATGGAAACGGCCAAAAAACGGCGACCGGAAACGGCCAAAAAACGGCTCCAAGATTGGAACCGGAGCCGGAACCGGTAAAAAAACGGCGACGCAACCGGTAAAACAACGGCGTCGGAACCGGTGAAAAACGGCAAACGGAACCGGTAAAAAAACGGCCCTGTCGTTTCCAGGGCTCACTAAGGCAGGGTAGTATGCCTTCGACCGCCTTGTGAGGGGGAGGCAGCGATCGCGAAGGAGTACTGAAAGATGAGCCGAACAAGTTGTGAAATCACGAGCACATGCGAAATGATAATCTTCGGGCACGCGGGACATCCGCCCGAATAGTATAATTTCAGCAACGGCGTCCGGTCGGTGGCTGGCATGTCAGAAAAGGTTGACCCCGTGACGTGTAATGCGGAGCTGTGCCTCAATCAGAGAGTTGTCGTGCTGCAGCTGCATAGCTGCGGGGGGTAGAGAAGAGTGCTGTCATGCGCAGTCGAAAACTGCGAACACTGACCAAACACCGTTCTCATAATAAGAAGCTGCTTGCAATGGTAGCAAGTAACTACGTGTACATCTGGTGAGCACTGGGCAGGCCACGGGCGATTGAGTACGAGTGGGCAACCATTTCGAGGTTCTCAGGGCTTACAGCTACAAGACGCTCAGGTGGAAAAGCAAGCACGAATCCAATGCGGTAGCTCCCTTTTCGTCGTCGTCGTCGTCCTCCTCCTCCTCCCCCCTTCCCAAGCAAGCTGCAGGGCACGCACTCACACGAAGCATCCAGACCCGTCAGCTGCCGGCTCCTCGGGATCGGCGGCGCCCGGAGCAGCGAGAGCTCGGAGGGTCCTCCTCCTCCTCAGGACTCCTCCTCCTCCTCCTCCTCCTCCTCCTCCTCCTCCTCCTCCGCCTCCTTATGCTAACGGAGTTCCCCGCATAAAGATATTAACGGTTTCGTGGGACCCATGGGGTACGACAACATCAACACGAAGGAGAAGCTCATCGAACGAGTAAGTACGCACGAAAGGGCAGACGAAAGAAAGGAGGAGGGAGGACAGGTGCTCAGGAAACGAAGCCTTGTATATAGTATGGGTTTCCGATACCCTCCTCGCTCAGGCGGGGTCTCCCTGGAGAGGTGTGAAGCGCACGAAACCATGTAAATAGTATGGGTTTCCAATACCCTCCTCGCTGAGGCGGGGCCTCCCTGGAGGGGTGGGAGGGACACGAAACCATGTAAGTAGTATGGGTTTCCGATAGCCTCCTCGCTGAGACGGGGCCTCCCTGGAGGGGTGGGAGGGGCACGAAACCAGGTAAATAGTATGGGTTTCCGATAGCCTCCTCGCTCAAACGGGGCCTCCCTGGAGGGATGGGAGGGGCACGAAACCGTGTAAATAGTAGGGGTTTCCGATACCCTCCTCGCTCAGGCGGGGCCTCTCTGGAGGGGTGGGAGGAGCACGAAACCGTGTAAATAATATGGCTTTCCGATACCCTCCTCGCTCAGGCGGGGCCTCCCTGGAGAGGTGGGAAGGGCACGAAACCATGTAAGTAGTATGGGTTTCCGATAGCCTCCTCGCTGAGGCGGGGCCTCCCTGGAGAGGTGGGAAGGGCACGAAACCAGGTAAAGAGTATGGGTTTCCGATACCCTCCTCGCTCAGGCGGGGCCTCCCTGGAGAGGTGGAAAGGGCACGAAACCGTGTAAATAGTATGGTTTTCCGATACCCTCCTCGCTCAGGCGGGGCCTCCCTAGAGGGGTGGAAATGGTATTGATATGGGAGGCGGGAGGCAGGAGGGAGAAGGAGAGGATGTTCTGGGAAAACAAGAACCCCACTCAGGATGTGGGGAACAAAAACACATAAACAGAAACTTTTGGTGCTGCGCGCGAGTTTCTGAATCTTCGCTACACCCGATTCCCTGGCGCGCGGAGTGCCCCAGAGGCGGCGCCAGAGGCGGCGCCGGAGGCGCCGTCGGGAGGGGGCCCAGCGCGGATCCAAGAAATCCGCGCGCAGCGCCAAACATCGTGCTCATGTTTTTTTGTGGTTGTCGTCTTCGACTCCTCCTCGACGCCCTTCCCCCCCCCGCTGGAAGGCAGTCCGACTGCGAGGAGACGTCCGTCAGCCCCGAGGCGGAGGAGTCGCTCAGCCCGGAGCCCGAGGCGCCGCTCTGCGGCGGCTCGCCGGCCTCCTCCGCCAGGCCCGCCAGGTCGGCCTCGCCGGGCGCGCGCGGCGCCCCGCCTGCGCGCTCCACCCGCCCCGGCCCGCTCGCGCCGCTCCGTGCCGGAGGTGCCCCTGCCTGTCGTCCCGTTTTGTCCTGCTGCTGGGGCTGCGGACTCGAAGCGTGCCGCTTTTTGCCGACTCTCTCTTTTTGTTGTCTCTCTCTCTCTCTCTCTCTGGTTTCTCTTTTCTGCTTGTTGTTTGTTGGTTTCTCTCTCTCTCTCTCTCTGTCTCTCTCGGTGTCTCTGTCTCTCCCCCATGCTTCCGTACCTGTCTCCGCTGCCTGTCTGTCTCCCCGTCTCTGTCACTCTGTTTTGATTGGGGGGGTGCTGTCTTTCTTTTGTTTGTTTCTCTCTCTCTCTGTCTCTCTCTCTCTCTCTCTCTCCTTCTCTCTAATTATCTCTTTCCCCCAGACAGCTGAGCTAACTGGGGTGCTGCTGTGATAGAAGCTAGTCCTGGCCGAGTGACCCGCGCAAAGGTGCCGGCATGTTCACCTGAGACATCCTTACAACACTCGTTTTCGAATTGGCAGGGGTTTGTCGTTTTGTCTGACACGCCTTCAAGACTCTGAGCTCGGAGATGCCGCGCGCGAGGTGGTCTGGCGCGTTTCGCCTGAGACAGCCTTGCAGCTCCGGGCTCTGAGATGCCGCACGAGAGGTGGTCTATCGCGATTCACGCGAGACATCCTCGAAACTATCGGCTCCAGGATGCCGCGCGCGGGGTGGTCCGGCGCGTTTCTCCTGAGACACTCTCGCAACGCTGGGCTCCGCGATGCTTGTCGCGAGGTGGTCAGGCACGTTTCGCCTGAGACATCCTCGCAAGTCTGGGCTCGGAGATGCTGCGAACGAGGCGGACCAGACTGTTTCGCCTGAGACACCCTGACAACTCTAGGCTCCCAAGCGTCGCGCAAGCTGGTTCAGACCGTTTCGCATAAACATCCTCGAAATTCTGGGCTCCAAGACGCCTCGCGAGAGGTGATCCGGCGCGTTTCGCGTGAGAGATGCTCGAAACTCTGGGCTCCAGGACGCCGCGCGCGAAGTGGTCCAGACCGTTGCGTCTGAGGCATCCTCGCAACGCTGGGCTCCGAATTGCCGCACGAGAGGTGGTCTGGCGCGATTCCCCTAAGACACCGTCGCAACCCTGGATTCTGAGATACCGCGCGCGAGGTGGACCAGACGGTTTCGCCTGAGCCATCCTCGACACTCTGGGCTCAGAGAAAATGTATGACAAGTGGCCTGGCCCGTTTCGCTTGAGACATGCTCGCAATTCGTGGCTCCGAGATGTTGTGTGCGAGATGGTTTGGCCCGTTTCGCCTGAGACAACCTCGAAAGTCGGGGATGCGAGAGGGAGGAGGAGGGGTCAGACCCCAACGAACAATTTCGTGGCACTCTTGTTGTCACACTTTGCTCTGAGAGACGCCGCCTGAAACATCCTGGCAACTCTGGGCTCCAAGGCGCCGCGCGCGAGAATCCGGGATGCTGCGCGCGAGGTGGTCCAGCCCGTTTCGCCGGGGACATCCTCGCAGCTCCTGGCTCCGAGGTGCCGCGCGCGAGGTGAGCGCCTCGTACCCGCGGGGTCGGGGCCCGGGGGCCGGGCTGGGCCCGTGGGACCGCGGCTGCGGAGGCGGTCTTCGCCCACGAGAAGGTGGGGCGCCCCGAGGCCCCCCCATGAGGTGAGGCCGCAGGGCCTCGTCTCGAGGCCTCCTAGGCGCCGCCCCCGCCCGTGGCCCGTGCCGCGCCTAGGCCGTGGCCGCGGGGGGTGGGGCCTTCGGTGCGGGCGTGGCCGCGCGGTGCTCTAGCCAGGGAACCAACACTGAAAACCCGCGCGCGAGGTGCACCTGGGGGGAAGCCCGGCGCACCCGGAACGCAGCCGCCCCGGGTCCGGGGGTCGATCGGAGAGGAGGACGAGGGAGAAGGATGAGGTGGAGGAGGAGGAGAAGGAGGAGGAGGAGGAGGAGGAGGGGGGAGGAGAGGGGAGGAGGGAGGAGGAGAAGGAGGAGGAGGAGGAGGAGGAGGAGCGAGGAGGGAAGATGGATAATGTTGTTGCTGCTGTTATTGTTAGCACCTCCCTCCTCCGAGTCAGCCAGCTGGGTTTGGAGAGTCGGGAGCACGGCGAGAGTAGTCAGCACACTGCAGCTGCCTGGACCCAAGCCAAAGGCAGCGAACAGGCCTTCTGGATAAGCGACTGTCATGAGAGCGACGGCAGGCCACTTTAACGACACAAGTGGCTGCTGAGAACATCATCGCGCTCAACGAAGCAGCACCTCAAGCTCCACGGGATGATCGAGGGATCCAGGAATCCCGTCAACCTCAGAACCACCATGGAAATTTAGAGGGAAGCCAGGCACGCCATGACCAGGGAAACCTGGGACGCAATACGGGGCAACTGTCGCACATCTCCTGGTCGCCGACGCGCAGGAGGGAATGCGCCACAATTCGCCCAGGGTGCGTGCTGAGCCTGCGTCGGGATCGTCTATCAAGCATCAGCTGGGCTCGGATCCACTCGAGCTGGGCTGAACACGCCATCGCGGCGCCAGAGCGACGGGGCGGATGGAAGCAGCTGCGGGTGGGCGCAGGTGTCCCATGAGGGTCCGTGGCTCCACACATGCTTGAGCCAAAATAGCTGAGAGAAGGGATGATGATGATGATTGTGATGATGATGATGATAATAATGATAATAATGGTAATAATGATACTAATAAAAATAATAGCATAACTAGTTACAGGAAAGCTAAACTAAAGCTAAGATAAAGCTAAGCTAAAGCTAAGCTAAAGCTAAAGCTAAGACAAAGCTAATATAAAGCTAAGATAAAGCTAATATAAATCTAAGCTAAAGCTAAGCTAAAGCTAAGCTAACGCTAAGCTAGAGCTAAGCTAAAGCTAAGCTAGAGCTAAGCTGAATCTAAGCTAAAGCTAAGCTGAAGCTAAGCTGAAGCTAAGCTAAAGCTAAGCTGAAGCTAAGCTAGAGCTAAGCTAAAGCTGAGCTGAAGCTAAGCTGACGCTAAGCTAGAACTAAGCTAAAGCTAAGATGAAGCTAAGCTGAAGCCAAGCTAAAGCTAAGTTAAAGCTAAGCTAAAGCTAAGCTAACTCTAATATAAAGCTAAGCTAAAGCTAAGCTCGAGCTAAACTAAAGCTAAGCTAGAGCTAAGCTGAAGCTAAGCTAACGCTAAGCTAGAGCTAAGCTAAAGCTAAGCTAAAGCTAAGCTAGAGCTAAGCTAAAGCTAAGCTAGAGCTAAGCTGAAGCTAAGCTGAAGCTAAGCTGGAGCTAAGCTGAAGCTAAGATAGAGCTAAGCTGGAACTAAGCTGAAGCTAAGCTAAAGCTACGTTAAAGCTAAGCTGAAGCTAAGCTGAAGCTAAGCTAAAGCTAAGCTAAAGCCAAGCTGAAGCTAAGCTAAGCTGGGTGAACCCAGGGGGCGCGACTGGGGGAACCGCGGGGCGGGGACTGGGGGAACCGCCCGGGGCGATTTACACTGCCCGGCCCCTTTAAGCTAAGAGATTAAGAACCCTTCTAGGCAGAGCCTAGGTAGGGAATAATAATAATAATGATGATGATGATGATGATGATGATGATGGTGATGATGATGATTATGATGCTGGATATTATGATCACATGTACATGGGGACGGTATTGCAAAATCCTGGCCAACTGGCCACGCCCAACCGCCTCCCTCGGCGCCTCGCACGCAGCGGCAGACATCGACGCATGGCGCTGGCGCGGAGCAGCACAGCGCAGGCGGGAGGCGCCAAACAGATCGACCACGACCAATCGCCTCCGCATGCCTGAAGCCCCGAGCCCAGGGCGGTGCTGCCCAGAGTCACCTCTGGAGGGCATACGCGGCAGAGTCCAGAAGGCTCTAACCAGCTCGGCGCATGAATTCGCGATCCTCGGGCCCGCCTAGCGCCCCGAGCGCAGCGTCTACATTCCTAGCACATAACGCACACAAAAGCAGAAACGAAACTGCACGGAACCACGGCAGTGCAAGGTGTGGTTAGTGAGGCTCAGCCGCACCACTGAGGAACGCTTCGAGGAGTGTCTTGGCCCGTCGAAGGCCGTCCACGAGGCTGCTCCCGCCGCCGCCCCTGGTGCTTCCTCCCATGGATTTGCCTCTGCCTGCCCCTTTCATACCCTCCTGCAGGTCCTGCCTATCGATGCCGTCGTCATCGATCAGCGGAGCGGCGGGTTCCTCGAGATCGATGCCGTCGTCGCCGAAGGTACCGAACCCTGTGTCGAACTCGTCGTCGACCTTCTCGCCCCCCTCGTCGGCCGATCGGGACTCCGCCTCAGCAACTGCCGCCTGCTCACCATCAGGGCCGTCCTCTGCCGGGGAGGCACCCTGCTGGGGGGGCACCCCGCCAGAGGAAGACATGACACCTGCAGGGACACGTCCGCCCTCCAATTCCTCCACCGCGCCCGCCCGGCCCTTCTCCGCGCAAGAGATCGGGGGCGACCAAGAAGGGGGCGTCCAAGCGGGGGGGGGAGCGCAAACCATGGCCGCCGGCACGTGCGCGACCCAGGGGGGGGGGGGGGCTGGGGACGTAATGAAAGAAGGGAGGGCGCCCTGGCATCTGGGGAGACACCACGGCCCACGCCATGCCAGCCACCCCCCTAAAACATCCCTCCCTCTTGTCGGAAGCCGGGCAAGGGCTGCTAAATCCGTGGCTGCTAAAATCGACCTCTGGGAAAATGTCTTCGTCCCTCCGGGAAGAAGCCCGTGGACTGTTTTTCGCGTGCCGCGCCTCGTTCCGGGAAGCTGTTTTCTCCTCCCGGGAGTCCGTTTTAGCAGTCCTCGCCCAGCTTTCGATCTTGGCCTAAAACAAGGCTGGGATCGGGATAAATTGTTCCAGAGCGTTCCGGAGCGCTCTCAGAGCGTTCCGGAACGCTCTGGAGCGGCCGCGGCGCCCAATACATCCTCCAAACCCGCCGATTCTCAAAGATTTCGAATTATCCCGATCCGATTTTGTCCCGATCTTCGCGTCATTTTACTACTACTGACCGGGTCCCCTTACCTGGGGTCCTGGCTATACCCGAGGGGTGCCAACTGCGCACTCTCCTGCCCGCGCGTCTTGCCGGCAGGCCAGCCCAGTGCCGGCAGTGGTGCCCTACGCGCCCGTGCTACGAGCTATCCCGATCCGATGTTGTCCCGATCTTCGCGTCGTTTTACATTGGCCTCCCCCGACAGCAGGGCGAGGGCACTGCTGCCGGACCGCCTGCCGCCCTGCCCAAGGGCGCGGCCCCGCGCCCCTGTAGGAGGGCCGCGGCCGGGCGCGCCCCCGCGCTGCCGGCGCCTGGCGCCGCCCCCGCGCGCCGCGCCGCCCCCGCGCCGCTCTGTGGGCGCGCCCCGGGCCGCGCGCGCGCTCCGTGCTGCAGGCGGCGAGGCGCGGGAGGCCCCGGCGCTCGAGGCGTCGGACGCCCTCGGCGCTCGCCCTGGGCGCCCCTCGTGGAGCGCTCCGCTCCGCCCGCGAGTCCCCCGCCAGCTGCGAGGCCGCCCTGCCCGCCTCGCGGGGCGAGCGGGGGCATCTAGGAGCGCGCGCGGGCGCGCCCTGGCGCGGCCTGCGCGGCCCCTCGGCGAGCGAGCGAGGCGCCGCCTCCGCGATCGCGCCGAGGCCCCCTGCGCCGAGAGCAGCTCCTCTACGGGCAGGCGCTGGACCTGCCGACCTGCGGCGCGGCCGCGCCGCGCGCGGCGCGCCACACCGCCATCGGCAAGCGAACAGCGGCACCCTCCAGGGGTGCCCCCCGGAGGCATCGCTGCGTGGGACAACGAGTCCCCTGCCCCCAGGGGCCCTCACGCCCGCCTGGGAGGGGGGTGGCTCCGAGGGACAACCTCCAGGGGCAGGGGGCCGACGAAAAAGGCATGAGCCCAGAGGACTAGAGATGATGATGATGCTGCTGCTGATGATGATGATGATGATGATGATGATGATGATGATGATGATGATGGTGATGATGATGTTGATGATGGTGATGCTGATGAGGATGATGATGATGATGGTGGTGGTGATGATGTTGTTGATGATGCTGATGCTGCTGCTGATGATGATGATGGTGATGATGAGCAGGATGAGGAGGAGGAGGAGGAGGAGGAGGAGGAGGAGGAGGAGGAGGAGGATGGTAAGGAGGAGGTGGAGGAGGAGGAGGAGGATGAGACCCCCCACGCGGGTCCTGCTCGGCGGGCGGGGGCATCACCAGCGGCGGGATGAGCTGCCTGCTGAGGAGCCTCGTTCCGCCGGGGCCGCCGCCAGACACCACCCCCTCGGCACGGCCGCCCTCCTCGACGCCACGAAAATATATAGTGAAAACGTATAGTAAGGACGCGTGGTAAGGACGCAAGACCCTTGGAGGCCGAAGTTGAAGTATTCTGGGCGGCAGGCGGCCAACCCCCCAGGGAACCTGAGAAACTGGCCTGCGAAAATTGCTAAGGACGGGCCGCAGAGGCTGAGGCAGGCAAGGACCCAAGGGTACCCTTGAAAAAGTCGTTTGTCCTTACTATGCGCGTTGACTGTATGCGCAGACGCCCTCCGACCAACTTTGCAGGTCCCTTCAGGGAGGGCGGCGGGGTAGAAAGTGGTCGGCTCTCAGGCCCAGGGACAATCGATTGGAGGCTTCTGAGTGTATTTTCTTGTGGCGGATCCTCCTCCTCCCCGAGGCTCGAAGCTGACCGCTGGTCCGTCGCGCAGTGGCCACAGCAGTTAGCTGAACTGGACCGAATCGTACAGGGCAGCCGGCGAGCTCACTCTGGGCAGCTGCAACTTAGGTTGGAGAGGAGAGGAGAGGAACGGCGAACCCCGGCGAGGACTCTGGAAGCACTTCCTCGTGCCCATCCTCGTCCTCTTCCTTGAAGCGGCGGCATCGCCGCGAGATGAGTTTTTCGGGAGGGCCTTGGGTGATTGCTCTCATGATCACGGCTGGATGCGGCTCGAAAAACGGTTTAGGATAGTGTTGAGTCGGGCGTGTCCCCCTACAGGGGGATTTTGAACGAAAAATAAAACAAAAACCCAAAACATACTCCAAAATGGTCAAACAATACTAACCAAACAGTCCCCAGACTATTGTTTGGACTATTTTTTGATGATTGTTGGGGTATTCTTTCTGGTCGAAAATCCCCCTGTAGGGGGACACGCCCGACTTAAGAATGGTGCCTGGGATGGGTCTCTGATTCTGGGACAGCTTGTGAGAGAGAGTGGCTCTCTGCAGGTTCTCGCCGCCTCCTTATCGTCACATCCTCCTCCTCCTCCTCCTCCTCCTCCTCCTCCTCCTCCTCCACAATTACTCAATATGAATACTACTCTCCCTCTTCCCCTGATGGCGTGCTGGGAGTGGCCGACCCCCCCCCCCGCGTACTGTTTTTTACATACAGGATTCCTGGGAGTTGGGTTTTCGCCTGCTTTTTTTGTCTCAAAATGCTGCTCTCGCTGAGGCGCCGGCCTCATTTCTGCTCCCGAATCGTTCCGAATCGTGCTCCCGCTGCAGCGTGGGCCTCATTTTCGGATCGGTGTTTAGCCTCCGTCGTTCAGGATGGCGTTCTCGCCCCAGCGCGGGCCTCTTTCTCGCGCGCCCATCCGCCCGCCACCACCGCGCCGCACCACCACCACCACCACCACCACCACCACCACCACCACCACCACCACCACCACCACCACAACCACCAGCACCAGCACCAGCACCAGCACCAGCACCAGCACCAGCACCACCACAACCACGCGCACACGCACGCACGCACGCACGCGCACCACCACCCACTGCGCACGCGCGCGCGCAACCACAGGTCCGCTACGACAGGCGTCCGCGGATAGAGAAAATCAGCGCCATGGTAAGGGATGGGAGGGAGGGGTAGGACGTCAGATATGACGCGAGCGCACCTAGCTTGTCCTCCTCCCCCTCCTCCTCCTCCTCCTCCTCCTCCTCCTCGGGCTTCTCCTCCTCCTCCTCCTCCTCGGGCTGCTCCTCCTCCACCTCCTGCTCCTGCGCCTCGTCCTCTGTTCAGCGGTGGACAAACCTCCCTTTAGCAAACCACCCTCTAACGAAAAACGGCCCAGGACCGAAACCGACGGACCTGGACCCGCGAACAGGACGGCCGCGGCGCCCTCTCGCGAACCGAGAACGGCCCATTCGCTGATCGCCGTGTCAGGGCAGGAGGCCGATCAACCTCCGAAACGTAGCCATGGAAGGTCGTATCCATGGGGTCCCGCCGCGGTGGTTACCACAACCGAGATGACCTGGCCATCTGGACCTGGGCGTGTGCGTCCCTCGTGACGCTGAGAATGCACGCCAAGGCAGGAGGTCTATCGACCTCCGACTTTTGTTGTCGATGCACCCCTCCCGCAGCCCTTTTGGCTCAAGCCCCCCTCCGCCAGCCTCGGCGGGAGAGGGCTCCCCACCGGCCACGATTCTCGAGGTCGAGGGCCAGCTCTGCGCGCGAACTCCGCGCGGCACGTCACTGATCGCTGGGGAGCGTTCTTGTTTAATTCTAGAGGGCAAAAAATCCACCCCCATAATAATCACTCCGACAAGTGAGGCCGTTGAGTAAACGAACCCGAAGAAGGAATCGAACAGGGCAGGGCTTTTAGTAAACGCCCAGGGCCGTTGAGTAAACGCCAATTGTCCGGTCCGGATGGTTTTTCCTCCCTTGATATTCGGCGTTTCGACATTGGGCGGTAAGGGGCGGAAAGGGGGGGGTCTGGCTCCGGACCTCGGCTTAGTGCGACTGTTTGGAACGGTGCGTCCTATGGGGGGAGGCTCCACCTGCTCAAAACAGGCGCCAAAAAACAGCCAAGATCCACTTCAGGGGGGGGAGGAGAGGGGGGTGCAAGGGCCCGCGCCGATCGGCAAAACGAGGACTCAAAAACGACACTTCTTTTGGCTTCTACTCGTAACCCTCGTGCCGCCATGCCGTCTCCTCTGCACGCCTACTAGCGGTGCGCAACGGTCCGCTGCCCAGGTTGGGCGTGGCTGTGCAATGGGAAGCGGAAGCGCCGAATCTGCGGCGAGACCTTCCCCAACCAGCTCGTATCTCCACCCTCGTCTTCCTCCTCGCCTTTGACATCCTCTGCTCCAGACCCAAACCAGGAGGAAAAGAAGTCCAACGTAAGCAGCAACAACAACAACAATTTCCCATGTGTGAACCCAAACCAACATGACTCCAATGTCACAAGAACTGTCAGTAGTAGTACCGCAAAAAGCCTCAGCACGCTGCGCAAAGCGACCTCGCCCCAGGAAATACTTCGGCCCAGATCCCGGGCTGCTGCAGGTCCAGCGGGCCCTGCAAGCGGCGAAGGCAACTGCCTTCGCCAATCGCCCTCTTCCCGTCCATGCCCAATCGTTAGCCGACCTGATCCAAGCCCAATGCAGGAATGCGGCTAGTAACACAACCGGAATGGCGGCTCTTGGGGTGTCCATGATCAGGACGCCGAGGAAACGGGCTATCAAGGCTATCAACCAAGAGATCTGAGACTTGAAGCTGGCGTACGTAACTCCTTCCAGAGCTGCAGCGACCACAGTGGTATCAGATGATCGCAGCGATCTCTTCTGTACCTCCCAGCGCATGAAGCAGGATACTTTACAGAGACTGGGCCGTCTGCCAACCCAGTCGCACGATTTGGCTCAGAAAACCTTCCTCCAACTCTCGGGGATCGTTGACCAGGTCTACCGTTCGGCAACCCATGATGCGCAGACCCTGCAGGCCCAGCAGTTGCAGAAGCAGCACGCCCAGCCAGCCACACCAACATCAGGACTCCAGTCCGCAGGTGCTGGTCAGGAGCTGGCGTCCATGGCAGCAGCGGCGGCGTCGGTTGCGGCTCCTGCTTCGCCGATTGGCATTCACGCTGCGTCTTCGCCTGGAGTGCTGCCTGCAGTGGACGAGTCAGACGAGGAGCATGGAGCAGGAGCAGGACAACTTGTGGATATGGACACTAAGCTTGAGGATGCGGCAGTCGACCAGCTACCCTTGCAACTGTTTGGAGTAAGACACTGGCACGTCTGGAGTAAGACACTGGCAGCTAAGAGCCCCATGCAAATGGCGAAGGCATTGCCTATCGCCACCACGGCGAAGAAAATCGCGAAAGGGACGGGGTAAAGGCAAACTCAGGCCTGCAAGCCAGCAGGGGCTCGGTTTAGGAGATCTGCAGGAGTTGGTGGGTGAAGCTCAGCTTAAGTCGGACAAGTCCCTCTGAAGGAATATTCAAAATAGTCAAAAAATATGCGGACGATCTGTTTTACTAATTTAGATCATCGTGGGTTGTGAGTTGAGATGCTTTGGTTGTTCGTCCAAAATCCCCCCTGTGGGGGGACACTCCCGACCTCAAGCTCCGGCTCTGGCGACTCACGCGTCCACCTCCTCCCAGCTGGCGGGCCCGGAGGCCCAGGCAGCGGGGGGGAATCCCCCCCCTGCTGACCAACTCCAGCCCCCATCAACCGTGGGGGTTGGAGGGGACGGGGGATGTTTGCTTTTGCAGCATGGGCCGACCAGCCACAACTGGGGGAGCTGTGGTCCTTACCCCCCTGGGGGAACCCATCGCATCGACGATCTCTCGAGAGGGGTGTCGAAATCAATGGGTCCCCCAGGGGGTAAGGACTACAACTCCCCCAGTTGTGGCTGGCCTGCTGGGCGCCTCTTAAAGCCCACTAGAGCAAACCTACAAACCAATACCACATTCTCACGCTTGAAGAGACTCGCCTAAGCACAGGAGGACATCACAAGTGCTGTGGAGCCAGCTCGTGGTTGGCCAGCAAAGCTGGTACCAGCTTCTATTCTAAAATTATGTGAGGGCCAGAGCATTGATTCCGAATACCCCTACCCTCACGCAGTGTTTAGCCTCCCCCAGAGATGTGCCCGTATGCGATCCCGTGCCCCGGTATGCGGCAAACTGAAAACATGGCTGGCTGATGCCGTGCTGTGTGGTGCTCGTTGTGATCGTGGTAAGATTTCGTTCCCCTGCCGTGCGTGCGTACAGGTGCCAGCGCCGAGGTGTGTGTGTGTGTGTGTGCGTTGGTCGATGTGGTCTCCTTCTTCTGGCACGCGTCGACCCGAGTACGGGTCCAATGGTAGGCCGCCGCTGTAACTTGCTGGTGGCCGTGGCCGCGGAGCGGTCGTGGCTCGCAGTGGCAGCCGCGCTGGCATCAGGACTTCGCAGCTCTTCGGGCACATGGCAGCTGCTGGTGGTCGGTGCGTATGCAGCGAGGCTCTGCGTCATGCATGCGCATCGGCTCCTGTTCTGTCTC